GGCATCGACCTTTCCAGAACTGACACACGTATGAATCTCCTTATTTGAAAAAGCGGAACATTGGTATAAATATTCAAGGCTTATATTGAATGCTGAAATTACCAACCAATGCATTGCAAATTGCATCAAAGTTGATCAATCAACTTTGAACTTCTTTGATAACGTTTGATGTCTGGGACTTATAATCAATCAAACACGAAAATTTTTCTGTCATGTGGATTATCTTTCCAAAAAAAATGAGCCACTTATGTTACGAATTAAGAATTCTTAACTGAAATAGAAAAACTTTTATTGTAAAAACCTTTTATCATGTTAACTTCTATTTCAGAGCTTAATATGGGATTGTTATGTAGGGCATTAGAAGTGCTAATAATATTTTTATCGTTCAGTGTTATGAATATTGAAAAAATTGCCTCACAATGAATCTTAGTGTCACGTCAAGTCACTGCAATTCCTCCCTATACTTTTTCTATATATTGATTAATGCATCAAATTTCCTTACGATAGTGGACATTATTTTGACATGCACTTAATTACTCATACATACAGCAACAGGAACCATGTATTAAATTATAACCATTCAACATCAAATATAAAATCTTTTCGAATAGTAAAAAACATTATTGAAATTGATCATTGAACTTGAACCATACTCTGTTGAAGAATATTTACTTATTACCATGAATTAGAAAACAGCCTGACGTTGTTTTCTGACTGGTTCTCACCATTTTATGTAATATGTGCAAATAAATTATTATTTTTTATGACCATTCTTTAAGCCATAAAGGGAAATAGTGGATTATGCAATGCTATGCTCTCCTACAGGTGTTTAACTGGTTGAATTAGTTCCATGCAAATGTAAATAAGCCTGGCAAGTCGGTGTGACCAATTGTCTCAACCATAGATTCCCCTTGTTATAAAATTGTTGGATGGTTTCAGTTTTAGCGTGAAATGAATAAGCTATGCACATCCAGGTTGTTTCTTTTTTTCAGTTGTCACTAGGAAACAAGCTAAAAACTTGATAGATGCAGGTGCAGATGCTTTGAGAGTGGGTATGGGAAGTGGCAGTATTTGTATCACCCAAGAAGTAATGGCAGTTGGTCGTCCACAAGCTACAGCTGTTTATAAAGTTAGTGAGTACGCCAAACACTTTGGAGTACCTGTCATAGCAGATGGTGGGATCCAATCTATAGGCCACATCATGAAAGCATTGTCTTTAGGAGCTTCAACTGGTAAGTTTCGTATTTAATTATCTACAGGCGTTAAAACGTAACTGACAACTTCGATGTTGTAACACGAATTCTGCCAGCTGATTGCCGCTAAATCTGATTGACCAGCTTGAGGAGGATTGTTTATTTCACCCAATAGACCATGCTTTGATCATGCATCTATCTTTGTTTGAGTTACTTTGTTTGTTGGATGAATGTAGTTCAGTTGCTATTTTTGTTCTTAAATTGCTCAAAATTTCTACTGTAAGCAAAGATTCAGCTGTAATTTTATATTTCAGTGATGATGGGGTCCCTTTTAGCAGGAACTTCAGAAGCCCCTGGCGAATACTTTTTCTCTGATGGGGTGAGACTGAAAAAATATCGTGGAATGGGTAGCATAGAAGCTATGGAGCGTAAAGATGCTATGGGGTCTGCCATGAATAGGTATTTTCATAAGTAAGTATAACAAAATAAAATATGAAAGAATGTTTTCAAGGATTGATTTCACACTGTTTCATGACTAATTGAAGTAGGTTGCTAAAAGAGCCTGGGTTTGCCTGGTAAATTTCGTCACTACTGATTTAATAGAGCTTGGAGGAAAAGGCGAGATTCGCAAGTCATTTTAGAAAAAAATAATGATCATTCATTAACATCTGACTACCAAAAATTAGTGTCTAGTCATATCTAGGTGGATAAATGAGGTCTCTATAGGAAGTACTTCATTTTATCATCTTTCGAACCGAAATTAAACGATTAAAAGAATCTACATTACTTCACAGTGAAGCAGCTTCGAAAAGATCTAAAGTCTCTCAAATTTTTGAGTGGTAGAAGAGTATTAATCTTGTGACTTCAGAGAACTAGCATCTCGGAAACTGATTAGTTTTCAGATAAGTCCTGAGAAGCAGTGTAATTGTGATTCATATTATTTCTTTTTTTTTAAACAGATGAAGTGGTAGATCCTGTTTAAAAACTTACAACTAGTCTATGGTCTTGTGGAGCAGAGTAATTTGGCAGAAAACACAAACTAGCTCTTGTTGTTTTTGAATATTTGTTCACTTTTTACAAAAGTTGCATTATTTTATCTTGCTTTGCTTTGTGACGAATATACACCTGTTTTATGTTGATTTTGATGTTAATTTGGTCATTTTTATGCTCATTAAAATCTGATGAATCACCATATCATAATTTTGAGTTCAAGTTTACTTACATAATTTATTATTTGAAATTACAGTGAAGTGGATAAATTGAAAGTAGCACAGGGAGTCAGTGGAAGCATTGTCGATAAAGGATCTGTATTACGCTTTGTTCCTTATCTCCAGTGTGGAATAAGACATGGGTGTCAAGATATTGGTACCAAATCTCTGAATCAGCTGAGGTACGGCATAATGTAACTGTTTGCATTAAATTTTCTAATTTATTCATTTTAGGGAGATGATGTACAATGATGAACTGCGTTTTGAGTTGAGATCGCATTCAGCTCAGTTAGAGGGAAATGTTCATAGTTTATTTTCCTATGAGAAGAGGTTATTTTGAAGAGTTGCGGTCTTTTTTATCTTTGAATAAGTGGGATCCCGAATGGATCAGACATTAGAAAAGTGATAATAATATATGTGTGTGTATGTATATATGTATAAATATGTTTGTATATGCGTGTAGGTATGTTATTTTGTATACAGGGTGTTCCTTAAACACATGCTAATATCTAAGGAGGTAATTCTTAGACCCATTTTAAGGAAAAAACGTCCTATGGACGTATGTCCTAAACGCCTTAACTTTTGAGATACAGGGTGGCAAAGTTTTCAAAAATAATCAGTTTTT